GAAAGTCAATCAGTGATGGGAGTCAGGAGCTGAACACAAAAGTAGAGACACAGAAGCAGAGAGACAGAAGAAGAGAAATAAACAGAAGAGGACAAGAGGACAGCTGCTTCCATCTGAGCCCAGCTGAGGGGAGGAAGACAGGCTTCGCATTTGCTGCTAGGAGCTGATCTGATTGGGAATAAAATTGTGCTGTTTGAAAGAGCTTATCAGAGGAAGAATCATCTATTTGAAGAGCTGACTGGGGAAAGAAAAGGCTATATTGCCTTGCCCTTTACTACCAACTATAGCTTGAGAGGTAGAAAGCCCTCTGCACTTTTTCTACCTCACTATTTACTGCTACCCATGACTTGAGGGGGAGAAACCTCTCAGAGCCCAGTGAACTTATCTGAATAGATCCATGGATTCTAAACCAAGGGGAACTGTTTTGCAGAGAAATTTAATTTTGCCTCAGAACACAATGAAGAATGCAGATCTGAACACCTCCATAGATTTCAGTCATAGTGTCTGTTTCACTTCCTAACACTGTTTTAGTAATCTGAGAGTAAAAACTAGCTGAGAAGTGACTCCACTAAGTAGGAGCAGAGAAGCCCCAACCCCCCCCCCACAAGTAATCCCCCACAGAAGATGGTACAGATTGCTCCCTATAAGAGGTCATGACCTACAGGTCAGTGTTATAAGCTTGTCTCTATGCATGGGTTTCCTTATTCATGTGTCTCCCTGCCAGGTTTCTGTAAGTTTATACCTACTTTTCCGCCATGAACACTGTGTACATTTGTGGGAGAGTGTGACCCAGGTTTATGGGCGACTCATGATTATTCTTGATTTTGCTTTCATGTTTAGTAAAGGTTTTGTGTACAAGAGCTAGCAGTATCATCTTGGTTGATTTGTTTTAAGAAGCATTCTGGTGGAGGATCAGGAGCTATAGTTGTGAGTAGTAGACATATAACCTCTCCTATACTAGGGTTCCAAAAAAATGGAAAAAGGAGATTCTCCATATGAGTCAGTAGAGGGACATGGCAACCAAGAAAGCTAATATGATCTTAGTCTGTATTGAAGACTAGGGAGTTTCCTCTGAACTCTGGCCTGGTCAGGCCACACCTGGAACATCTGCTCAGTTTTGAGTCCCACATTTTAGGGAATATATTGATAAGCTGGAGAGAATGTAGAAAAAGGCCATCACATTGATGAAGTGCCTTGAGTTAATGACATAGGAAGACTGGTGAAAGGAAATGGAGATGTATAGCCAGGAGAAAAGATTTGGAGGTGGGGGTGGGAATGATAACTGTCTTCATATATTTAAAGGGCTCTCACTTGGAAGAAGGGATAGATTTGTTGTGCTTGGTCTCAGAATTTAGAACAAGGAGCAAAGGATAGAAGTCATATTTAGCTTTGATATAAGGAAAGCTTGCTCTGATATCATTCTTTCGTTGTGGATCCTTCTTGGTAGGAGCATTCCCCATGCTTATTATTGATAGTATCTTTCGACCCAGAGGTTCCATTATTGGGACACACACACTTTCTCGCGCATGGAAGTTATTCACATCAAGAAAGGACCCTATGTACAAAAATGTTCAAAGCAGCATTATAAAAATAATATTATATTTTCCCCCCAATTACATGTTAAAACAAATTGTAACATTTGGGTTTTTTTTTAAAGTTTTGAGTTCCAAATTCTATCATTCCTTCCCTCCTTCTCCCCCCTCCCTGAGACAGTAAGCAATCTGATATAGGTTATCTATGTGCATTCATGTAAAATATTTCCATATTAGTTATTTTGTCCAAGAAGGCTTGAGCAACAACAACAAAAGAATGAATGAAAGTGAAAACAGTATGTTTCAATCTATATTCAGACAGTATTAGTTCTTTCACTGCAGGCTGATAGTATGTTTCATCATGAATCCTTTGGAATTGTCTTGGATCATTGTATTGCTGAGAATTGCTAAGTCATTCATATTCCTTCATCTTACAATATAGCTGCTATAGTATGTACAACATTCTCCTGGTTCTGCTCACTTTACTTTGGATCACTTTATGTAAGTCTTTCCAGGTTTTTCTGAAATCATCCTGCTTGTCATTTCTTTTTAATTTTTAAAATTTATATATTTATAGTTTTAGTTTTCAACATTCGCTTTTATAAGATTTTGAGTTCTAAATTTTCCTCCTCCTTACCTTCCCCCTCCTCAAGATGGCATGCAATCTGATATAGGCTATACATGTATGATCATATTAAACATATTTCCACATTAGTCATTTTGTGAAAGAAGAATCAGAACAAAAGGGAAAAACCATAAGAAAGGAAAAAAAAGAGAGAGAGAAAATTGATCTCCATTCAGATTCCATAGTTATTTCTTTGGACGTGGATAGCATTTTCCATCATGAGTGTTTTGGAATAGTCTTAGATCATTGCATTACTCAGAAGAGCTAAGTCTAACAAAGTAGGTCATTGCACAATGTTGCTGTTACTGTGTACAGTGTTCTCCTGGTTCTGCTCACTTCACTTAGCATCAGTTCACACAAGTCTTTCCACATTTTTCTGAAGTCCACCAGCTCACCATTTCTTATGGAACAATAGTATTCCATCACATTCATATACTACAACCTGTTCAGCCATTCCCCAACTGGGGGACATCCCCTTGATTTCCAATTCTTAGCCACCACAAAAAGAGCTGCTATAAATATTTTTGCAAAAGTAGACCTTTTTTCCTTGTTTTGGATCTCTTTGGGATATAGACCTAGCAGTGGTATTGCTGGATCAAAGAGTAAAAGCAACATTATTTCTGATGAAAAAAGCTAGAAACAAAACATGTGCCCTGCAATTGGGAGATAATTTAGTAAATTATGTTAATAGCAATAAATCAATATGTATTTATTAAATGTCTACTATGTGCCAGGTATTATGCTAGGTGCTGGGATCTTTATTTATTGTTTAATTTTGTTTTTGACCTAATATTTGCTAAGCGTAGGAAGCTCCCAGTGGAAAAGAGTATCTTCTAAATTTTATTTTTTATTCTGAATTCAATAAATATCAAAAGAAATTTGCATTTCTGTATACAAAGCAGAATTGAAAATTAAGATTGTACTCAAAACTGCTAAGTTCTATTATGTAAGCTTACTTTTCCATATAAGTTTAATATTTAATTTTCAAAATTGTCCTGCTTGTCTGTTTTACCTTCTGACCTTCCTTCTGTACTTGAGAAACTTCCTTTACCAATGCAAATCAACACCTTGCCTGGGGCACTGGGTGACCTACTCTTGAGGTCATAAAGTCATTAAGTATTTGTCAGAGGTAAGATTTTGATCCAAGTGTTTCTGACTCTTAGGCCAACTTTTTACCTACTGTACCACATTGTCTCTAAAGGTCTGGGATAGCAAAGATGAAAATCAAACAATTCTTGTCCTTGAGAGGAGCTTTCTTTTCACTAGGAGAAAAGAAACAAACGTATATATGCATATGCATATCCATACATAATTATGCATAAGATATATACAAAATAAATACAGAGTAATTTTTTAGGGAGTAGTCAAAAACATCTAGAAGATCAGAAAAGACCTCATGTAGAAGGTGGCCCTTGAGTTAAGCTTTGAAGGAAACTAGGCATTCTAAGTGGTGGAGGTAAGGAGGGAATACATTCCGGGCATAAACCATGAAAAAGCATTGAGATGGGAGATAGAGGGTTTTGTGGGAAGAGTAAAAAGCCATTTTGGCTGGATTGTAGATTGTGTGAAGGAGAGTAATGTATAATGAGGCTGGAAAAGTAAGTTGGAGCTACATTGTTAAAGGCTCTAAGTGTCAAACATTTATTTGATCCAAGAGTCAATAGGGAGCCATAGAAGTTTATTGAGTTAGAAAGTAACATGGTCAGACCCATGTTATAGGAATGCCATTTTCATCAGCTACATGAAGATGAATTGAAGAGGGAGGAGACTTGAGGATGGGTGACTATTTAATTGTCAAAGTGAGAGGAGATGAAGGTTTCAGCTAAGATGGTGGTTGTATGAGTAAAGAGGAAGGGGACAGATGCAAGAAATGTTATGGAGTTATACGAACTAGACTTGGAAAGTATTTGGAAATATGAGGTGAGATGGACTGAGGAATCAGGAATGAATACAAATCTGGGAATCTGGGTGACTAAAAATATGTATGTTATTATGTAATAACATGTAATAGAATATCTATTACTGTACTATAAAGAATGAGGAATATGAAAAATTGAGAGAAAGATGGGAAAACTTGTATGAAAACTACACAGTCAAAATAACAACATAAAGTGTGACTACAGCTATGTAAATAAAGTCAACATGGAGAGGCAACAAAACTCTGATAAAATAAAATGATCAATATTAACACCATACTGTCTGGAGTCAAGGACATCTCTTTCTTTCTGCTATTAGTCAATCAATAAATATTTATTAAGTGTTTATTGTGTGCCAGGCACTGTGCTAAGCCTTGGGAATACAAAGAAAAGCAAACAACTACTCTCAAGTAGCTCATAGTAATGGAGGGGACAACATTCAAACAATCATGTACAAACAAAACATACAAAAGATAATTAAAGATAATCAACAATGGGAAAGCACTAGAATTAAGGGAGACTGGGAATGGCATCTCATAGTAGGTGAGATTTTAGCTGGGATTTGAAGGAAGATAGAGAAGCCAGGAAGTAGAGAAGTCCTGGCATTGGGGACAGTCGGTGAAAATGACCATAGTTGCAGGAACAGCAAAGAGGCCAGTATCACTGGATCACAAAGATGCATTAAGAGGATAAGGTATAAGAAGACTGGAAAGGTAACTGGTGAGTTGTTTTTTAGGGAATATACTTTTTAAAGAAGCTTGGTTTGGGTGACTTAGAATTACAGACACTGAGTTTGAATTCGTTAGAGAATTTTGTGAATCTCAGTTAGAAGTAGAATCTAAGAAGACAGAGTGCAGGCATACCTTGTTTTATTGTGCTTTGCTTTATTGTGCTTCACTGATATTGTGTTGTTGTTTTTTTTAACAGATCGAAGGTTCATGGCAACCCTATGTTAAGTAAGTTTATCGCTATCATTTTCCCAATAGTGTGTGCTCATATTGTGTTTGCTTGTCACATTTTGGTAATTCTCACAATATTTCAAATGTTTTCATTATTATTATATCTGTTATGGTGATCTGTGATCAGTGATCTTTGATGTTACTATTGTAATTGTTTTGGGAAGACAAGAACCACGTCTATATAAAATGGCAAGTGATAAATGTAATGTTGTGTTCTGACTGCTCCAATGCAAGGCTGTTTCCAGTCTCTCTCCCTCTCCTTGGGCCTTTCTATTCCCTGAAACACAATAATATTGAAGAGTTTCATAAACTTAGTTGATAAAGCAGCAGGAGGGTTTGAGAAGAGTGGTTCCAATTTTGAAAGAAGTTCTTCTGAGGATAAAATGCTATCAAATAACATCCCATGTTACAGAGAAATCTTTTGTGAAAGGAAGAGTTGATCGATACAGCAAATTTTGTTGTTGTTTTATTTTAAAAATTGCCACAGCCACCCCAACCAACCTTCAGCAATCCCTACCCTGATCAGTTGGTATCCATCAACATCAAGGCAAGACCCTCCACCAGTAAAAAGATTATGACTCACTGAAGGCTCAGATGATGGTTAGCAGTTTTTAGCAAGGAAGTACTTGTTAATTAAGGTGTGTTCATTTTTTTAGACATAATACTGTTGAATACTTGATAGACTACAGTATAATGTAAACATAACTTTTATACACACTGGGAAACCAAAAAATTTGTGTGACTCTTTTTAATGAGATATTTGGTTTCTTGTGGTAGTCTGGAACTGAACCCACAATATCTCCAAGGTGTGTCTGTATCTATGAAGAAAATATAGCCTTATTGATAATAGTGATGAAATCTTAAAGAGGAAATGATATCATTTAGCAGTGTCCAGCTCTGGACTTGGAAGAATTTTCCATTGGACTGCTTTGTAAATAAGTTACTTCCTCTAGGGGCCTTCTCAGGAACTCTGTTTGTATAGATGAAAAAGTGTTGAACTTATATTTACAGGACCTGTATATTAATCCTGACCCTAACACTTGTTACCTCTGTGACCTTGGACAAATCACTTAACCTCAACTTTTCTCATCTGCAAAATTCGAGAGTTAGACTAGAAGTCTCTATTGTACCACCCAATTTTAGACCTATGGATAGAGTGCCAGGCCTGGAGTCAGCTCAAATCTGGCCTCAAAAATTTACTAGCTGTGTGACCCTGGGCAAATCATTTAACCTCTGTTTGCCTCAGTTTCCTCAACTGGAAAATGGGCATAATAACACCACCTAACTCACAGGGTTGTTGTGAGGCTCAAATGAAATAATATTTGCAAAGCACTTAGCGTAGTACCTGGCATATAAAAGTCACTATATAAATGTTTTCCCCCTTCCTTTCCCTTCTGGTCTTAAAAACAGGACCTAAAGGGGTGCCTTGTAATTTGTCAAGTTGACAAATCAGTTAACATCATTATATTTCTCACACTGTTGTCATTGTGAGAAGTCATTTCTAGTGAAAAAGATAAACTGAGAAATCTTTTCCACGGAAGCTTTTCTCTTCTTTTAAAAAATAAAAAAAAAAAAATAAAGAAAAAATGCAGGCAGATCTTCTGAGTTCCTTTTTCTTCATTAAATATATTTATCAATTCATTTCATTTTTTAAAGAAAGGCAGCAGTTACTGTGGTCCTGACTTGTCTCTCAGTCTCTTTTTTGATCTGTTCAACCCCTGGCTTTAAGGAGCCCCATTTATCCTGGTCTCCTTGAGTATTGGGGATAAAATCTATGGAAAATCTTAAGCCTTTTAAAAGTGGCTTGAAATTAATGTCTTATGATGTTTCTACTTGGGCTCTTATATAACTCAGAGATAATACTTAGGTTAGCATATTAATCCAATAAAGAGCAAAGTTGAAAGAAGGAATGAATACACCATGATTCAAGACATTCTTTGGGTAAACTGAATGTGAAAAATCAGGCAGATAACCAAGAATGAATGAAGTTCCCCAGACTATTTGTACTACTAGATTAGGATAGCTTGGGTGCCTCACCTTCCCTCCACATAATTTCAGAACCTCAGTACCTATTCCTCTAAGTGTAGCAGTAACTTCCCAGGCCTTTCAGCCAGGAAGTAGGACCAATCATTCTTGTCCTCTCCTTCTGGTAAAAAACAATTTTTTTAAAAAATACATAGTTGTCTGTAAACAAAAGGGAATGGATGAGAGACAGTATTTCCTTTGTAGCATTGTATTTATTTATTTATTCAATAAATGTTTACTGAATCCTATTGTGTGCAAGGTAGTATACTAAATACTGCATACTGGTCTAGACTCTAGGCACTCTGTTAAGCACTGCTTATCAACCACAAAGAAGCTTCCATTCATGCAAATACCTGAGGGAAATCTTTCTGTTTTATGTCTTCAGAGTGCCAGAGGAAGAAAAGAATGGTAGTAGTTGGTGATTCTCTAGTAAAAAATACTGAAACAGCTATTTGTAGGCCTATTAATAATAATAATAAAAAGTCTGTTGTCTTTCCTTGGCACATACATCTGAGACAAAACAGAAAATCTGCCAAGACTTATCAAAATGGATGACAACTATCTACTTCTGGTGACTCATGTGGGCATAAATAATTCTACCAAAAGGGAAAAATCATAATACTGATGATTATGAAAGCAAGGAACTGAAGACCACAGGGGCACAGGATGTTATTTTCCTCACTATTGCCCATTGAAGGCAAGGGATGCAGAAGAGGAAAATTAATTTGGAAAGTGAACAGGTAGCTGAAGAGATGGCATCTGAGAATGGGATTTGGATCCCTGGACCATGACTTAAATCAATAACTTGACTGATTCCTGGCCAGAGAATTTTAGTACATCTAAAAAAAAGTCGAGTAAGAATAAATATATTTGCCAGGTATCTTACAAATCTAAACAAAATGGTTTTAAGATAAAAAGGATTAGGGTAGAAGACTGCTTATGCATATTTCCCAAATTAGATACTATATAGAGTAGCTATTAAGAAGAAAGAGTAGCAACTGAGATACTTAGAAGTTCCCAGGAGATAAAATCCAGGAAAGAAGTCAGAAGTAAAACTCATGGCCTCAAATATTTATATATAAGGGTTTAAAGTTCAGGCAAAAAAAAAAAAAGAGAACCAAACAAACAATCAACAAAAAAAACAAGAGAAAATAGAGTCCTGATGCAAGGAGGCAAATAGAGCTTCATAAGTATCACAGACCGTTGTACATAATAACAGCCACGTTGTTCAATGACTGATAATGATAAACTTAACCCTTCCCAGCAATACAAGGATCTAAGACATCTCCAAAGGCCTCGTGATGGAAAATGCTATCCACATCCAAAGAAAGAACTATGGAGTTTGAATGCAGATCGAAGCATACTATTTGCTATTTTTTTTTCTCTTCTGTTGAGTTTTGTTTCCTCTTTCTGGTGGTTCCTTTTATTGGTTCTAATTCTTACTTACAACAGCACTAATGTGAAAATATGTTTAATAGGAATGTATATGTATAGCTCATATCAGATTGTGCACCATCTTGGGGAGGGTGGTGAGGAGGAAGGGGTAGAAAAATTTTAAGCTCAAAAACATATGGAAGTATTGTTGATAAATCAAAATAAATTAATAAAAAAAGATATTCTGAGTAAAGAGTGGGAATTCCATACCCCAGAGTGTTTGACACTGGTATCCTCATTCAGTTATGTGTTTTCAGTGTATTGTAGTATATTGTTATATCACAAGTTGTTAACCAAGATTTAAAAAAAAATAAAACCTATTTGGTCACATTAAAAAAAAAAAAGTATCACAGAGACTTGATAGGACAGAATTCCCAAATTCCTACTCATACCAGTTGGACAAGTCCCTAAGAGAATGAATGACCATTTTTCCCCTTAGGAGCAACCAGCCAGCCAATTTTCAACTAGCTTTTAGAAAATACTATTCACTAAAGTGGTATGCTAAGAATAGTAGGTACAGAGCATCCCCCCTTTTAGGGGGATGTATCTAGAACACACCCCCACAAGTACACATAGATCCATGAGAGAGTGGGCTCTAATTGGAGAGTATTATGATGATGAGTCACACGTGTGGCTAGGCAGCTAGGTTACACAGCAGATAAAAATCTGGGCCTGAAGTCAGGAAGACCTGAATACAAATCCAGCCTCAGACACTGTGTGATCCTGAGCAAGTCACTTAACCTCTGTTTGATTCCATTTCCTCTTCTGTAAAATGGAGATAATAATAGCACTCACTTCCCAGGGTTGTTGTGGGAATCAAATGAGATAATATTTACAAAGTGTTTAGCACAGTATCTGGCACATAGTAAGCTCTCTCTCTATAAATACTAGCTCTTATTATTTTAGCTATTATGTGTAGAAAACACACGTGAAAAAGGTGTAAGTCACAGCTTCTTATTACTCGAAGTCCTTTCTTAAGTCCATAGCTAGTATTCTTCTCTCATTCAAGATCACACTCCCTGAAGTTGTTTTTGTTGTTGTTCAGTCATTCAATTCTGTCAGATTCTTTGTGACCCTATGGACTATGGCATGCCAGGTCTTCTATCCTCCACTATCTCTTGAAGTCTGTCCAAGTTCATGTTCATTGTTTCCATGACAGTATCTATCCATCATATCCTCTGCTGTCCCCTTTTCCTTTTGCCTTCAATCTTTACCAACATCAGAGCCTTTTCCATTGAGTCCCTTCTTCTCATTATGTGGCCAAAGTATTTAAGCTTCAGCTTCAGTGTTTGACCTTCTAGTGAATAGCCTGACTTAATTTCTTTAAGTATTGACTCATTTGATCTCCTTGCTGCCCAAGGCACAAAAGTCTTCCACCCCACTGCAATTAGAAAGCATTGATTCTGTGGCACTCAGCTTTCCTTATAGTTCAAATCTCACAGCATTGCTACTGGATAATTGTATAGTCAAATAGTTGGCAAGGTGGTATCTCTGCTATTTTGTATGCTGTCCAGATATACCATAGCTTTCCTTCCAAAGAGCAAGAGTCTTTTGATTTCAGGGCTGCAGTCACCATTTGCAGTGATCTTTAAGCCCAAGAATATAAAACCTGACACTGCTTCCATTTCTTGTCCCTCTATTTGCCAGGAAGTGATTGCACAAGTTGTCAAGATCTTAGGTTGTTTTTGTTCTTGTTTTTTGATGCCGCAGCCTCCCTCTTTCTTTGTTCTTCTCTGACAGTGTCTGTTGTCTGCTTGTCATCTGAATGTATTATCTGCTACTAGTCCAATTTCTCTAAGAACATGGTCACGGAGTGGGGGGGGAGGCAGTAGGAGGTAGTGCTAGTGGTAGAGTAACACTTTCTCTGGGCATGTATCCCCCAATTCCTTTGTTGAACTCTTATAAAGACACAAGAGTCTGCCTTCTCAAGATGCTCTTCAACCTGAAATCTCCTACTAGTTCCTGCTTCACTAGTTTACAGCTGGACTGAGTAACTGTCAAAATTCTGAAAATGGAAAGTTTTTTAAATCCCTATTGTGATAATAATAGCTAGCATTTTTATAGTCCTTTAAGATTTTCAAAGCATTTTATATATATGATTTCATTTTATCCTCAAACGAACCCCGAGAGGTAGGTGCTATTAGTATCTTCATTTTACAGATGAGAAAACTGAGGTAGACAGAATTTTAGTAACTTGCCCAGGATCACACAACTAGTAAATGTCTGAGGTCAGATTTCAACCATGTCAAATAATCTATTTCCAAAAAATACCTGGAGAGTCATAAATGCAGGTAATCCTATTCCTTTACGGAAAAATCTGAGCTTCCTGGTCTTTTCAGTCATTTTACCTGCTCATAGATACATGCAGTTTGGCATAAAGAGATGACACAAAGACTTTTTAATCTGTCACACAGATAGCTATAGAGACAATTTACAAAAAAGGATAATTTTGGTAGTTTCCTATAGTATTCATTCATCACCTGGCTTAAGAGTTATCATAATAATTTATCTTGTACTTTAGGGCTTGCAAAATACTTCACAAATATTTTCTCATTTGACCCTCACATGAACTTCAGGAGGTAGATGCTATTGTTATCTCCACCTTATAGGTGAGAAAACTGAGGCAGACAGAAGTTAAGTGACTTGCCCAGGATCACAAAGCTAGTAAGTATCTAGTAAATTAGGTCTTCCTGACTCCAGTCCAGTGCCACTACTATGCCACCTAGGTGCCTTTGACTCTTTTCTTTCCCTCACCAAAAGAAAAATATTCCACATCAATGAGATTATAGGTCAATCAAAATATCGATACTTTACATATGTGTATGTCATGGGTATATATTTCAAACAACTCCTCCATGAAAGAGCAGGATCTTTGTAAACATAGCCCTTTGGTGGGCTAGGTGGTTTTTTGTGATCCCTCCTTTTGGATTATATTTCTTGAAGCACCATCAATCTCTATTTGACCAACCTCAACTAGAGACACCAATACTTATATCTATATACAATTACAAATTCATGTGATTCATTCTTGTTTTCTAAGATGATTTAACTTAGTGACATTAGTAATAACTTGCATTTGCGTATAAATCCCCACAACAACTCTGCGAGACAAAGAATGCAGATACTATTAATTGATTAATTGAGAAGGATTTCATAAGGTAGAGGTGAGGCAGGAGTGAATGCCAGTCATAGGCAAGGGCCAGTACAAAGGTATGTAGGTAGTGATGGAGTGCACACAGAGAGGCTTGTTTGGTTGGATTGCAGCTTGCAAAAAGGGGACTGTTATATAGTGAGAATAAAGAGGTAGGTTGGGGTCAGGTTGTAAAGGGCTTTAAAAGCTTAACAGATTATTTCATGTTTTATCCTAGAGGCAATGAGCAATCACTGGAGTTGATTGAATAGGAATGTGTGAAGGTCAGATCCTAGATTAAGAAAAATCACATTTTCAGCAACATGGAGGACAGATTGGAGTGGGCAATGACTTGAGGCAGGGAGATCAATTAGGAAGCTGTTGCTGTGGTCTAGACCAGGGCTTCTCAAATTTTTTCCAACTCCCCCTTTTCATGTTTCAGCAGTGTTCATTGGCAGCATTCGTTGGTGCAGTGTGGGCCTGAAGGCATGCACGGTACAAAGTGCATATGTCACGTTTCAGAGGCAAGGCTGCAGTGAAGTTGTGCAATGCGACATGGGCAAGTGCCGCCAGAAACACTTCGGATTCATTACATGTTTGATTTTGAATTAATTTTGGTCTTTACACATTCAGAAATCTTTTATTGTTGCCAAATTTTTTGTGACCCCCTCCCCATATGGGGTGGCAGCTCACAATTTAAGAAGCACTGTCCAGTGCTTCCAGAAACATGACCACTAAACTATATATAAGGAACATTGCAAGCTGCGTATTGACTTAGAAAACCACACATTAACGTTATCTGTGTTTTATTGTATTTTTATTTGTTTTGCTAATTCTCAATCACATTTTAATCTGCTCTGCAGGCAGCACCCAAGAGTGTTGTCCCATGTGTTCCTCAGACCATGTGCTTGACATCTCTGGTCTAGACTAGAGGTGGAGAGTCTGAACTAATGTGGTGGCTACATGAATAGAGAGAAAGGGCAAAATTTGATAGGTGTAGAGGTAGAAAAAGCAAAATTTGGCAAGAGAGGACAGTATCGAGTTAAATTGGTTCACCAAGGGGTCAAAATGGAGGAAAGAGGAGAGAGTGGCTAGTGTAGGGGGAAATGGCCTCAGATAGAATCAAGGGACTAAAGGATTAGAGGTCACAGGACAGACAAAGAATAGAGTTTGTTAAAGGAAGGGAGAGGGAGAGGTGGAAATCCAATAGATTATGGTCAAATAAGGGGATTTTAGAGTTCTTGAACATGGAGGTTATACATTTGTGAGTGATGACAAGATTGAGAGTATGATCTTTTTGTGTGGGGCTGAAGTAGGTGTGGAGGAATGGCTCATGGGAGAAGAGTAGGTTGAGGAACTAAGCGGTTAGAGGGTTTGAGAGAGAGAGAGACTGAGAGATTTTGAGAGGTATTACAGCCATAGCTACTAAAGATCTAGAAAAGAAAGTTCTTGCCACCAAAATACTTGGCATTGTCAAATGATTCAACATCAGAAACTTATGTGATTTTATTAGTGGAAAAGAAGCATTAACATCTGCTTTGTTATTGCACCCTATGGACCATGAAATTTTTCCATCTGACTTGTATCTGAAATCTTCAGTGTATATTGTCTCTTCCATGAAAATGTGAACTTGTGAGACCAGAGACCATCTTATCTATTTGTAACCCCAGCTCTTAGCACAGTGCTTTGCACTTAGGAAACACTTGATAAATGCTTAATTCGTCTTCTAAGCAGTGCTGGTTCTTTATAATTTTGGAATATTCACTTTTGATTTTTTGCAGTTGTTCTTTGTGTTTACATTGTTGTAGTCATGTATATATTGTTTTCTTGTAGGCCAATATGATCAATGAATATCAATGTTTAGAAAACTCAAGATTCAACCAAAAAAATGAAGTAATACATGACTTTATCAAAATAGTTTTGATATCAAAATATCCAAAAAAAACGAATATCTTCTACCAACAGAATAACAAACTGGTAGAATATCTTCTACTAACTGATAACAAACTACTTAACAAACTTGACAAAATATTTGGTCATTAACTTACAAAGATATGCAAAAAGTCTGAATAAAGAAAACTTTAAAAAAATTTTGACAAAAATTAAGGAAAAGCTGAACAAATAGATCCAAGTAATTACAGTAAATAAACATAAATTAAAAAGCTGATACTCAACAAATTAATTTATAAGTTCAATGAAATAGCAAAGTACCAACAGACTCCTTCATAGAATTGGATAAAATTGTAACAAAATTCATATGAAAAAATGCATGAATATCAAAAGGAACTCTGAAATAATGAACTGATGATGGGAACTTGTAATTCAAAGTGTTTCAAAGCAAGATCATACTCCCTAACAACAACTCCCTAAAAACAACAAAGTTAACAGAACTTTATAAACAATTTTACCAACTGATTCAGGAGAGGACACAGAACAAAAAAAAATGTTCCTTGCTATTTTGATAAAATGTATATAATATTAATTGTAATAAAAGCAACATTATATGGTGAGAAAAGCAATGGATTTGAAGTCAGAAGACATGATGGGTTAAAATCTAGGTGCTTCCATTTACTACCTGTGTGATCTTGAGCAAGTCACAACCTCTCTTGGCCTCAGTTTCCTCTTTCTTGAAGTGAAAGGATTAGACTAGATGATTTCTACTGTCTCTTCCAGATCTAAATATATGATCTTATTCTTTTCAATAAAAATATGAATAATTTGGACTCTGTAATTTTACTTGGTGATTTACTCTACAATTTGTTTTTTTATTTGCATTTGTTAAAATTCAACTGAGTTTAAAAAAAAGGGAGGGGGATGGCTTTCCTTCCTATATTTCTTTGTTCCTTCACGTTGGGCGTGTCTGTTGGCTAGAGTAGGCTCTCAGCCAGCTACAACTGTGCCACATTGTCTAAAGCTGTGCTACAGTGAATCCTTACACTGTTTCTTCTGGCCTTATTGCTTTTGATAATAACACTTCAGCACAAATTAAAAAAGCTGCTTAGATATGTTGTAATTGTACATTATCTTTACATGTTCAGCCCAGCATATCTGTGTTATGGTGAACAATTCCTTTAGTGCTAATGAACTGGCTCTTTTAGGACTGCAGCTGGCAATCTTTCCCTTCCACTTGATATTGTATTGGGTTTGTGGTTGGTTATGAAAGCACTCAAGAAACCAGCTGTGCCATCTGTGGTGGCCACACACACAAAGAACATAGAGCAGAGTTGGAATAACACAGCTGCATGGAGAGAGAACAATCACTCAACCCCTTCTTCTACTCTCCCTCAGCAATAGAGTGTCACTATAGAGAAGCTTGGTTGTAGGAACAGGAGAAGCATGTTACCAGCCTGGGATTATGGATCCCATAAACAACTAAGGGAAATATTTAAGGCAGTGCTAACAATCTATCAGATAGAGATAGTAATGGTTTGAAGCCCAGCTTCCATGGCTCTGCTAAGGCAGAGAATATGAAATCATCTTTGATTCACTGTGTAGGAATGATGTGGATACAGACCCAGGACTCAAAGGGGGCAGTTTATTCCCTAGTGAATGCTTTCTGTGAGCTGTGGGCTCCCTCTGTGTCCCATCTCTCAGGCTGGATGAGTCTCATTTGTGCATATCTTGGCAAAAGCAGGTTACCAAAAAACAAAAAACAAAAAAAAAACCCCAAAACAAAAAAAAACAAAAACAAAAACCAAAAACCAAACCCTCACTAGTCTTATCAGGAGACTTCAGGAATAAAAGGAATAAGGTATTGGAGTACATTATGATCACCTTGAGAACTGCCAGTGTGATAGATTGGTTCCAAATTGCCATTGCTGAGGCTTTTCCTTTCCTCACAGTTAAGGTACAACAATAGTAAATAAATGGTTCCTGACACCCACAGCTTATAGCTAAACAGGAAATTAGAGAGCACTATGGTTTTGTATGTCACTTTCAAATACCAGGTAGTGGTAAGTTAAAGGTTAAAGGCTGAAAGGCAGTGTTGTCTCTTTTGTAGGGTGCTATACTTGGATCAAGAAGGCCCAAGTTCAAAACCTCCCTTGACACTTATTAGCTATGTGATCATGAGCAAGTCACTTGAACTCTTAGAGCCTCAATTTCTTCATCTGTCAAAAGGGGGATAATGGCATAGGGCTGTAGTGAGGCTCAAATGGGATCATGTTTGCAAAGCACCAAACAATGTCAGTTATTATTATTATTGAAAGGCTCAGGTGCACCCCTTGAAAAATAGTTTCAGTGGAAGGGTTAAGGTTTATTAGAGCTATGCGTAATGTGGCTTCCTGTACAGTGTCTTTTTAATGACTGACTAATGTGTATGGACCAAATCCTTATTGCCCCTTAAAGAAAACAGTCCATCAGAATCTAGGATCTGGATATCACAGACCTGCTTGGTCTGATACTCGATGCCATGTTGGTCCATCAGTCTTTTGAGGGACAAGCTGGCCTTAGTTTCTTACAGTTTGTTACTAAGTGCATCACTGAACAGCACATTACTTATGTAGAGAACAGAATCCAATGAAAGTCTTTAATTTGGCTTCTGATTAAAATCTTAAACTGGGCATAGTTCCTTTGGGGTAAGCTGGGACATGATTTCGGTCTTTTAGCTACTAAAATGAAGCAACTGTTATAAACACACTTTGGACAGCAGTGCTTTTCATCAGATAATTCAACTTGAGTGACAGTGAAGAATTTACAGATTATGCATTTGGCCCTTTTCCATTACACATACTTACAACAGACTAAAGTTGGTTTCCTGAGTGCTACAAACTCTATACATCAAGTGGAAGAAAAAGATTGCCAGTTATAATCCTAAAAGTTCCTATGGGGACAGTTTTAGAGGTGGAATTTGAACTCGAGTCTATTGATTCCAAGTCTGGCAGTCTTTTCATCATAATTATTATACTTTAGGTAAGAACCATCTAAGATTACTTGGTCTGATTTTTATCTGAACAATAACACTACCTTTACAATTCAGCAATAACCTTCCCTGATGAAGCACAGACAAGTGGCTGAACCAGAGCACCAACATCAGGTTAGGTGGTCCCGGTAAGGATACAAAATAGCTTCTCTTGATTTCCCTGTGTAATAAGTTCATGATGTGGGTCTCTTATTTTCAGTGCAAAGCCAATGGAAGGTATAATCTGTTCTTTTTTGGTGGGAGGCTCAGTTGTTCAGTGTGATGAGCCTGCAGTGGTTCCAGGGTTCTGAGCACAATAGCACTGTCTGTAAAGATTTTTCACACAGCCATATTTTCCACAAATGGACTTGTCAGCCTAAATACATCAAAAGCATAGAATTATAAAGCTGGAAGGGGCCTTAGAGATCTAGTTTAAGCTCCTCTTTATAAAGATGAGGCTGGAGAGGCTAAGCTTTTGATCAAGATTACCTAGCTGGTTAGCAGTAGGGCCTGGAACAGAGTCCATGTCTGC